TTGTCTTTACCTAGGCAGAAACTCGGTTTTTAGCACTACAAAGTTTTAAATCTGGTAATCATGGAACATTATTTATTGCACATGACCACACAGAACAAAATTGTCGGCATCCAAAGACTTGTAGGCCTTGAACTTCTCTCTTGTAAAATCACTTGGAGTTTCAATGAGGTAGTTGTATATTTCGGCTGGATGCTTGGCCATTTCCTCTTATCCAATATCCATTGGGAGGGTGCTATCGCAAAAGGACCAGTCAGATGAACGCCGCTCACTTTAACGTTAATTTTGCCGAATCGCTGTGCTTATCACTGGGTGACAAGCTGTTATAATATGCTGAAAGCATTATGTAAATAATATAAAATGTAAACAATATAACTACTTATCTGTAAGACAACAACAAACTCTGTACCCCATCTGATGTCATTCCCTCGCTGTAAATTCTAGTGCTCCCGTTTTTTTTTCTGCAATCTCTCGGCACACGCATACTAAATGTTTATAAACCGGTAATTCATCTATAAGCTAGTGTGCTCCAAAACAGTGATAAAATTTACATTTAGAAGACAGAAACTTCCAAAGCTTGCAGTTTGTCACTTCCGCCTCAAAGATGTTTTTCACGTCACCTCATACTTCAGTTTCTCATCAAATCCTCTGACCAATCAAATGCTCTCTAGTATCTGACATGCTCCGCCCCCTTCTCATTTCCTTTTCATTTGATGTGCTTTAGCTCAATCACTCTCACAAGCAGAGCTGTGATAAAGCTAAAAGAGGCGGAGCTACTCTATGCCCCGCCCTCTCTTGAGATTACGTCAAACATCGAATAGAAAGATGCACAATCACATTTCAAAGCACTTAACAGGACCTTTTATTTAAATCTTCTTTTCCCGTGTGGGATATGGATGTAGTTGTAGACAAGCTGACGTGTTTTCTGTGTTTAAATACAGATATGGCTGCTGATTTTTCTGAGACAGTGATTCACACAGAGAGGAGATGGTGTGTGGAGAAGAAAGGAGTGTGGTTAATGACCTGTTCAGGAGGGATATCATGTAACACAGGAGAATGTTCTGCACAGATGAACGTGCTGCAGGTTTTTTCACAGCTTAGGTTTCAGACGCTGATGTACATTAGGGTGTGGCCAGCCTTTAAGCATGTGGCTGATGTTGGTGGGTGTGGCCAATCAAGGAGGTGTGGCTTATTGAATGAACATAAGCTCATCATTTAACTTTGACAATAACCCGAGCCAACTATAAACCATTTTGAGGGATGTAAACAATAACAATGGTTCTAACGTATTTCCTGTGTTACATTTTAATTTCCATAGCATCTAAGAAGTCAAAAAGCTCCACTTATTGATGAATCAGGTTACGACAGCTGTTTTAACATTTAGATAGGATTGAATTGCCTCTTGTTACAGTTATGAAATTGTTTGATATCAAATAGGAAATGTTCATGGGCCAATGATTGACATTAACAAATTGAAATTGAAATCTATACACTTTGAGAAATGTAATGAAAAAAAGTCAAGACAACAAATAAGTTAATTTTGCTTTAACTTATTTTAATATTTTACATTTTTTAAGTTATACAAAGTTTATTTGATTCAACAAAAAAATTTAAGGCAATTTTTTTTATTTTTTACAGTGTATTTCATGTGAATCTTAAAATATTCTCAGCAAATGTTATTTATGCTATATTTTTAATGGCTTTATTCTGCAATGCTTAAGTAAGTTTGCATTCATGCCATTGTTTTAGAACTTCCGATTAATATGGGAAAAGGACTAGAAATAATAAATGTTTAAAAAAATGGTTGAACTACTTGCTCTGCAAACAGGTTTGCTTATACATAAGGGAAAACATTATATAAAAAGAATATACCATTTGTAACACCAAGCAACATAAATGGCTTTTTTTTTAAAATGACTATAAAACAAAGGAAGTGAATGAGACCGGATGTTTCGAGCCAATAGGATTCAAATGGCTGTCCACGCTTACATGAAAAAATAAGGTCAAAACTGAAAATTTATTATTCTTTTAAAAAAAATGTATATTTTAGGAACATTATTTTTATCAGTTATATTTGTTTACTTATTTATTTATTTATTTATTTATTTAACGTATTCCTCTTTCTATAAAACATAAATCATGAAATCATAAAAGTAAAATGACATTTTTAATTACAAAAAAAAATTGTGTTGTATATGTGAGTTTAAAAATACTAATTTATTTATATATATGTGTGTGTGTGTGTGTATGAATGTGTACATATATATATATACATATATGTGTGTGTGTGTGTGTGTGTGTGTGTGTGTGTGTGTGTGTGTGTGTGTGTGTGTGTGTGTGTGTGTGTGTGTGTGTGTGTATATATATATATATATATATATATGTATTAAGTCATTTATATTCAACTTTACAGTTGAAGTCAGAATTATTAGCTCCCCTGTTTTTTTTTTCCCTTAATTTCTGTTTAAAGAAGTGATTTTTTTCAACACATTTCTAAACATAATAGCTTTAATAACTTATTTCAACTGATTTATTGTATCTTTGTCATGATGACAGTACATATTATTTGACTAGATATTTTTCAGAACACTTCTATACAGCTTAAAGTGACATTTAAAGGCTTAACTAGGTTAATTAGGTTAACCAGGCAGGTTAGGGAAATTAAACAAGTTATTGTATAATGATGGTTTGTTCTGTAGACTATCGTAAAAATATAGCTAATAATTATATAGCTAAAATGGTGTTTAGAAAATTTAAAACAGCTTTTATTCTAGCCGAAATAAATCAAATAAGACTTGAGTCTTTTTCAACTGCTCTTGAAATGCAGATTTACCCCTAAATAACTCCCCAAAATCAGTTTGGTAAACATCAGATCTCTGTCGTCTCCGTCATTAGTCGGGCTCTCAGATCTAAACATATCTCACGGGTGGGTGAACACTGACTTCATATTTTACAAACGCAGAGGAGGAGTTCACCCAAAAATACCTCCTGCTGGTCCGGCCCTGTAAAACAGTATATTCATCCTCCTGCCAAACACAAAAGGAGATGATTGTTTGTAGGCAGCATATATACTGTATACTGTAATACCAATGCTATATTCCTCTTAAAGTCCTTCATGTTTGTTTTTAGTTTAAAGATGATACTTCTAGATAAGTTTAAGAGCTTCTTCTGAATGTTGGACATCTTTTGTGTTGCAGAGAAGAATGCTAATAATGTAAAATTATAGTGGGATGACATGAATGAGCATGTTTGTAATATAATCACTCCACATGATGGATTGTAACTTGTACATAATAGAAGCTCCTTAAAGACTAATGCACTGATTGTTGCTGCTATTGTGTGACTGATACTGTCAGATACTGCAGGCAGATATTATTCTGAAATGGGGGCTATAAAATAGGTTAAAAAACAACAAAAATCTCTAAAATAAAGTTATATGTACTGCTGGAAAACCTTAGGAGATCATTTAAAACTTAAGGTTATTGATTTCTAAACTTTTATGTATGTTAAAATATTGGTATTGTGTTGTCTAGAATTTAACATTTTACCTTTGTTATGTTATGCAGAAGGAAAATGCTTTTCAAAGCTTAAAATATGTATTATTATTATTATTATTATAGCTATATAATTAATAATAAATACATTATATCATATCTAAATATTTATTATAAATATATATTGAAATATTTATATTTATTTATCATTTATTAATTGGGTTGTAGCTAAAAATATATAAATTATACATTTATTTTTGCTATATCTGCCCTAATGTGTATTTATTTATCAACCAACTGATGTTTGTGTGTGTCTCTGTGTGTGTATGGAGATTGGAGAATGAAACCTGTGAATAAAAAAAAAACATATTACTGAATAAATAAATTAATAAATATGCATATAAATAAATAAATGAATGCATGTATATATAAATCTACAAATATATAAATCTACATTCATGCAAAAATAAAACAATAAAAAAATAATACGTAAATAGATAAATAAATGAATAAATAATACACATATTACTAAACAAATAAAAACAATAAATAAATAAATATGCAAATAAATAAACAAATGAATAAATAAATACAAAATTACTGCATAAATAAAACAATAAATATGCAAATAAATAAATAAATGTATATATAAATCTACAAATTCCTGCATAAATAAAACAATGAGTAAATAAATACGCAAATAAATAAATAAATGTGTATGTAAATCTACAAATTCATGCATAAATAAAACAATAAATAAATAAATACTCAAATAAATAAATAAATAAATGTAAATATATATAAATCTACATCTAAATATTATTAGTGTGGTGTGAAAGGGGGAAGAATCTACTTCTGTAGATTTTGTGTGTGTGTGTGTGTGTGTGTATAAATAAATATATAGTATACAGTTTATAAAATTTATATTTATCTATTTATTTGCATATTTGTTTATTGTTTTTATTTATGCATTTATGTGCAACTGTGCATTAATTAATTAATTAATTTTCTTTATTTGCATATTTATTTATTTAATTATTGTTTTTGCAAGTTTTGTCCTCCATATGTATATACCAGCAAAGATAATAATTTAAGTGAAGTATTACCTGCTGAGAAATTTATATAAAGAAGTTTGATATAATAATTTAATGTGTGTGTGTAATATTTTTTATTCATAACATAAAAATGTAATTGTAAAAAATCCATTTAAACAAATGATGCATAAAACACATTTCCAAATAAAATAATGCAATAAATTCAAATAGTATTTTTAATATAGGCTTTAAACAACATAGGGGGTATACACTATAAGCAAGGTAATGAATCATAAATAATGTTCAATTTAGAAATAAAAAACAAAACACATTTGTTTGGCTCTCAATATCTAATTTCTGTCGGTTTTATTTTTTGAACCAATATTAGAGAGAGAGAGAGAGAGAGAGAGAGAGAGAGAGAGAGAGAGAGAGAGAGAGAGAGAGAGAGAGAGAGAGAGAGAATGTATGTATGTGCGTGTGTGTGCGTGTGTGTACTGTTCAATGAGTCTCGCTGCTGAGTTCCTCCAGAATGGCGATCACACACACAGTCGGTCTGTCGTTACACCGGAGATCCAGTGACTGAATCTTGACTCAACATCAACTGAATCATCAGATACAATGAGAATATACTGAGAAATCACAGACCGACATGACATTGTGATGATGGTGGAGGCTTTTTAACGGATCCGCGCGGCGGAAATTCGCTCCGGTGAGTCAAAACCGAACTTCTGCTCTTCACTTTTGCCACAATCCTCCATTAAAAACACTCCTGGTATCCAAAACCCGGTGTTTTAGACAATAATATAGCACTTTATGTGATAATATTGCATTATAATGTGTTAAAACGTGCGGAAATAAACTCTGAGCGGTGAATGAGGTGAAGATGGAGTTAATGTTTGACAACATGGCTGCTCGCTTTCATCTCTCTCCATTCCTCTAATTTAAAGTCATAAAGTCGCAATGTTTATTGATTCATATAAAACATACACACATGCGGACATATTTGACGTTAAAGTTTATATAGTTTGAGCAAACGCGACCGTTACTGTAGATGAAGCCGTTTCCGTTCAGCGAAAACGAACATCCTGAAACTCGCTTCATATGAGAGCTTTCGAGATTTCTGCTCACCGTATGTATTTGTGTGTGTTAATTTAAAGACTCTTCAATTCTTATTTTGTGTGTGTGTGTTTCTTTGGTTATTGTGTAGAAAGTCAGAAAGAGAAACTCAAAACACGACAATGAAAGACTCTGACAACATATCCCAGCAAACAATTTTGTTTAATAGACGTCTAAACTTAGACAACTTGGCTAAAACAAGGATAAACTTAAGTGAAAATCGAATAGACATCTAAGAATAGTCCAAAACTAGACTATAGTCGACAAATAGACAGATTAGACAGACTTTATATGTGTATAATCTAGGGTTGTAACGGTATGAATTTTTTACAGTATGATAATCGTCTAAAACAATACCACGGTTTGACGGTTTCGCGGTATACGGTATGTTACAAATGTTACAAAATAATAGAACAGTGAAGCAAATTTGACTTTTTCCAAATAATATATTTTTAGTTACTATAAACAACACCACTTACAATGAACAAATAAAAATAAGAAAATAATAAATAATGTGTCAAAGTCCAAATAAAGTCCAAATAAACATGGTGCAAATCCTCAGTAAAAAATAGATATAAATATTTACTATGCTATAAATAGTTACATCACGAAACTAGATTCAATATGGAACATCCTTAGGTTTTATGTGCCAGCATGGATATGGTTGTCTATGGATATGGATTTGGAAATGGTTGTCTGCAATGCAGACAAACAGCTGCACCTTCATTTGCGTCTTTTGAAAACAGCAAGAGCAGCAGTTCGTCTTTGCTGTGTCACTGTTTTGTCATGTTTCTGTGCTGCTGTGCATGCAAAAGTACTTAGTATGAGAATTATTTCATGCAAAACTTTTTTTTTGGCGTTTTATTTAGCCGCGCATAAATGTATGCCTTTCTCTCATTCCGTGTTGTTCAAAAAGCTTGGTCCACAAACAAAAGCGAAACCTATGCTTATTGGTTGTGATATAGCGAGTTTGAACCAATCTGGGCATGGAGGAGGGACAATGCATCAATGTATCATGTCTGATTTGTCCGGAGACACAGTGACGAGCGTTTCTTTGTCAAATCAGCGTTGTCAAATGTTGATGACGTAACCGCACTGATTCCGGAGCCTCTGAATGTTATGTTATTCCGCGAATGTTATGTGATACAGCACTGGAAAGCTGAGATTCTCTTCTTTATGCCAATCTTTGAATTGTATGAATCGGATCAGCGGATCAAAAGTTATTAAACATTTAAGAGCAATACTTATTTTTAGCCGCGGGCGGCTGTCTCGGTCTTTAAGGGTTAAAACCGTTGATATGCAATTGTTCATGGTATGATAATCGTGCACGTTCAAATCGTGGTAAACCGTCATACAACCCTAGTATAATCATTAATTTTTGCCCAAATTTAGCCATGTTTTAGCCAAGACGACTATGTTTAGACGTCTATTAGACATCTTTTATATACAAAAAATGCTTGCTGAGTAGTTTTATCGTATACATTACAATGATAACAATTCCATGAAGTGACATATTCAACATCTGTCATATCATATCTACACTATGGGGTGTTATTTACATGGTGCTATTCTAGTTACTTTCAGGAATACCATGGTGCCATGTCTAAAAATATGTGGTACTTTTAAAGCAATGTATGCATTCATTCAATACTATGGTGTTATACTTTCTGGAAGAATGTAAGACACAAGCCATTAGTGTTGTTTTCAGTTTGTCTGATCTTTGAGTTCTGGGTTGCTGATTAAATCACTTTATGAATAAACTTCTGTGAGTGTTTAGCGTATTAGGTGAATCTTGATGAGTACAGTGTTTGTATCACATGATGTATGACTGTGATGTTATGCACCAAGTTTATGTGAAGAGTATGATGCTGGTTCCAGTAATGGTGTGTTTGGTATAAGGCTGTAACTTTATTCTGTCGTGAGATTAATCTAAGCCAGAGCAAGTTATTAAGTTGTGCTGAAAGATTACCAGAACACACAATGCTTTTATTTGGAGTTGGACACAGCTGAGAGATGAGAGGGAAAAAAAAAAAAGAGTTTAAACACTTGTCGTTTTTAATAATATAAAGGCTTATTTGGACAAAGGTTTGGTAGACATCGAGAGATCATATTTATGTGCATGTTCATACCAGACCAGAGAGAGTTCAAGTCGTCACCAAGGCAAAAATAACCATGAGAGTGTCTTCATGCCAGCATGTACTTCTGTTGGTGCGTGTGTGTGTGTGTGTGCGTGCGTGTGTGTGTGTGTGTGTGCACGCAAGTGAAAGGGGCCCCTGGTGATTTTTGGCTTCTTAAAACAAAGTGTTTGAAAAAAATCCATTTATTCATGTGACCTGAGTAAAAGCTCCCTTACACACTCACACTCACACTCACACACACACACACACACACACACACACACACACACACACACACACACACAGAGCTTGACAGAGGTTTGAGATCCGGAATCTTTGGAATGTTTGCCCCCCTCGTTGGATGTGCTGCCTACCTGACACACACACACACACACACACACACTGGGTTTTATGGGGACTCTTAATGATTTTATACTGTACTACATACTGTATATTTTGTCATCTTCCACCAACTCTAAACCCAAGCCTCACTGACAAATGCTTTAGCATTTACCAAAGAATGTAATTATTAATATAAAAATTCTGGATTTTTAAATTGGATCCTTGTCTAGATCCCTTATTCTGGATGATTCATGAGTTATTTCCTTATGGGGACTAAGAAAATGTCCCCACACAAGGTGAAATAATACTGGTATTGGTAGTTGTGGGGACATTTGGGGGTTCATAGTGCAGCAGTGAATACCAGGACTACACACACACACACACACATTAGTAAGGACATTACATATACTTCCATTGTTTTGTTTTTTTAATACAGTTTAATGATATTCTCTACGGCTTACCGCAAAAAAAAAAAAAAAAAACGAAAGTGATCGGTTGGCAAATTAAGGGGGAACGGGTGGTGAGGGAGGTGTCACGGACCTTTTTCTTGGCTGCTGCGTGGAGGGCGCCGTAGCGACCAGCATCTTCCGGTAGAATGGTTAGAACTTCTATTTAAAGCATTTACAACTGGTAATTTGTGATCCAAAAATGGGTTTCTAAAGCGTTTTGAGTGGATTATGGAGTGTTTTTGTGACACAAAACTTAGAAAGGTGTATGTTAAAGCCGTTATAATCTGTTAGATGTCGTTCAAGCGCGAGTGAAAAATGTTTTCCTAGTTCACGTGTCTGCCGTCATAAATACAGTGTGTGGGTGTTTCCCCGGCCTGTCAGCGGCTCTTAAACACACACACACACACACACTAGCGCACGCAATACTTCACTGCATTATAGAGCAAACCAGATTACTGGCATGAAGGTGGTGCTGATCGACAACAGTATTGGCTCAAAGATGATAAAAGTGGGTAAAATAGATTATAACTATTGTTTCAAAGCTGTCCAATTGTGACTGTTTATATGCATCAGCTGCCGACAGAAAGTTCTTAGCATTCCCCTTGCGCATACACGCAAAGTATAATGGGTAATTTTGCGACCTAAGAAAAAGGTCTAGTTGCGGGGACATTTGAGGGTTCATAGTGTACCAGAACCACACACACATTAGTAAGGACATTACATAGACTTCAATTGTTTTTTTTTTTATTTATATTAGTTAAATTATGTTCTCTACACTGTAATAAATCTTACATGCTATTTACAAAAAAAAAGTGTGGTAACACTATTGCACGTAATATTTTTAGGTAGTTTGAAAACGTGATTTTTTTTTTTTAGCAAAAACCACTTGAATGAATCGTGAAAATTACAAAAATCTTTTGAGTGATAGATGATGATTTTAATATTATTAGTGGAACGTGCTTTCATAATTTAAGCAAATCCACCACCATTTACTCACATTTATTTTTTAGCAAAAACCAATGACTAGGGTTTTTGAGTGATACAGCTTAACTCTTAGCATGCTCACAGTTGATCTGCTTCTTCAAAATGTCGTCTGGTCACTGCCGTTGTTGAGATTCAAATGCGAACATCTCAATCAAATCTGCATAATTGAGTGAATTTTCTTAAAATAAACGTGAATCCATCTTTCCTCAATTTTATTAGCTTAACTGGTTTCTCAAAGTAAGCCTAATAATTGCACTGGTTTACTTAAAAAAATAAGTGAAATGTATTTCTTGATTTTATTAAAAAAATCTTCTTAATACTTTATAATTTATCCAGAATATATTTTTTTAAAGAAAATATGCACATTATTTTTAATGACCACCTCAATTTTCTAAATGAAATTTACAAGCCTCAAGATTCTTTTTTTTTTTACAGTGTATGGCTTACCGCTAAACAAAAACATCACAGAAACGTGTGCAAAACACTTATAACCCCCCCAAGACAAAATAATAATGGTATTGCTATAATTGTGGGGACATTTGGGGGCTCATAGTGTAGTAAATACCAGGGTCACACACATGCGCACACACATATTAGTAGAGGACATTACATAGACTTCCATTGTTTTTTTTTATATCAGTTTAATGATGTTTTCTATGGCTTACCTCCAAACATAATCATCACAGAAACATGTGCAAAAC